ATTTTGAACTGAGAGATTTATTCTCAGCCTGAGAGGTTTGATTAAAAATGCCAATATTTGAGTTCATCATGTCAATCTCTTACTAAGTGTGATTTTTCATAAATAAATTTTTGGGATAAACCTGAGAGGTGAAATAGTTTAGTTATAATAGAGGAGTATAGCTATTTAAGGAACTTGGTGGTGAATACTTTCTTGAAGCAAATAAAATAGTAATGCAAATCATTGCATTCTTATTTCTTTCTATAAACACACATTTTCTCATTCTTCATTTGTTTAAAGTGCTTGGTTGACAGACGCCCAGGACATGGAGAGAGTATACATATTGCTTTCTTTCATTAACTATGTGTGTAGCCTTAAACATTTCAAGTTTTACTGCATTGTCACAGTATAATGCGTGAGACCAACCCCCATAAAACAGAAGCATTATTTAAAATAGAAAATGGTAGGCAGAAATCAAGTGGAGTCAAATATTCACAAGAAACTCAGTGTCCTTTATTTTTACCTCTTTACCTAGATGAGCAAAGTGATACCAGGGCAGTTAAACAATTTGCCGAGGATCACACAGTGTGTTTTAGAGCTGAGTTTGAACCTGAATTATCTGACTCCAGATTCAGAGCTCTTTCCATCATTCTAGAGGGAAAATGTGTGTCAGGAAGAAGAGCTGAATTGCTGTGGGAATACTGGTGGAGACCAAGCATCCAAGCATGGGCAGTGGGAAAGTTAGAAGCCTGCAGGGCAGATGCTAGACACCGCGAGGAGAAGATGCAAGCATACACACATGGGTGCATCCACCTTCACACCACAGCAAAACTCAGCGCAAGATCTGTTGCTTAATTTCTTTGGTAGCTTTGTTCTTTATAAACTATGGAGTAGCACTGTGTTTTACAAATTTTCATAATCTGATCCTTAGAGTAGTGACTGACTCTGTGCAGTGATCAATAGGATGATTGTTATCTCTGAGTTGGATCTCACTAAAAATAAAATTTAGGGGTAAATGTGGTTGGTCTAGTATGTTGCATTAAGGATAGATTTGACATTCAAAGTATTCTTGGGCTTAGAAAACTTGACATTTTAGGCTAATGTAACACAATAAGTCAAAGGTATCTGACTTATTGGTTACATTATCTATTGGTTACAGGTATCTTATGAAGCTGTAATATCATCTGTGACAATATTTTGTTTGAATAAATTATAGATTTAATTTATTCTAAGAAGGTTTTTAAATGTTAATTAAACTTGTACTCCAAGGTGAAATAATCAGTGTTCCTGACGCTTAGTGGGAGAAAGAATAATTGTTTACATGGGAGAACATATATTAACTGAAAACATTGTAAATCTGAGACATGATCATTTTGGAATTTCCTCATAGTTAAAGAGTGGCCAAATTATGTGAAATTTATCCCCTCCCTCTTGTGAATTGTACTCTCAGTTATGAGTTTGAGTTCTTTTCATATGCATTCTTCTGGGTATCTAAGTCATAGTGTTGCTAGACTATTGTAAGGCTTATGTTAAGAAATCAAAGCATTCCTGTTACCATTTACTTGGTGTTTGGATCCATTGGCCTGGCAGTAACTCAGGTAGTGCACAGTTGCATACATCAGGGCATTTGCTATGACCCTGTGCTGGAGTCTTTCAGCTGGTACAGCTCCAGACATTTATAAACTCATCAGTGACTTCAGGAGACAGAAATGAAAGTGATGCTTGCAGTGATATTTTATAGTATTTAAAATCAGTTCAGAAATCTGCATGGTTATCCCCAAGACAGAGTCAGGGTATCTCCTACTTCCATTCAGCATGCTTAATAAATATCCATGTGTGTACTTTATCCTTAGAGGTATCTTGCCTTTTGAAGGATGCTTTGGTTTTGGTTGTGACCATATATCAGTTTTGAAATGAATTCAAGTTAAGGATCTCAGAGAGCAAAGGTATCTTACAGTGTAATTCTTCTCTGCAGTCTCATGTCTCTCAGGGGCTTATCTTATCAAAGATAAGAAAATTGATGGCACATATAACTACTACACATTTGGTCTCTGGGGCATAAGGATAAACATAATATTTTTCATGTCTACAAATTTCTTACATACAGCATAGAGAAAAACTGACTTTGGAGTGCTCATAGTTTGCTCACTAAGATTTCTTCTAATCAGCAGTTCAAGGCTGAAATCTTTAAGTCCTAGAAATGGCAGCATTTGGAAAGGAGATCTAAGTAGATTCACACTTAGCCACGAGTTCTCCATATGATGAAAATTAAAGTAATTGTAATGTAGGGTTCCCTTAGCAGAATACCACTTTTTCTTTTGAACCAATTATTATTTTAGGCCATCTTATTGTCTAAGAAGTTATAGCATTACACATTCCTTATTTTTAAAGCAAGAGAATATAAGGGAAGCAAATTAAAACTAATAACATTGACTCATATTTCTAAATAGTAAGAACAATATCATAGAATAAACAATAAACTCTAATTTTGTTTCTTTTATTACTCTTTTGGCAAAAATTATGAGCAAAGACACTTACAATGTAAACGTCAGTGGTTCAAAATCCTTTGTCAAGCCCTTTTCTCCCTCTCCTGCCACATTTTAGTTCAGTGATGCTTTGTGTAAGTCACCCACATCGTGCCTTATGTGTGCTAGGCAAGAGCTCTGCCACTCAGAGCACTTTTTATTTTGAAACAAGATCTCTGTAAGTTGCCCCAGGCTGGCCTCAAACTTTGGATCCTCTTCCCTTAGCTTTTAAAGCCCCTGGGGCTCCAGGCATGTACCACCACTGTTGTACCCTTACTTTTCTTAGGTAGTTTTTCAAAACATGGCCAGAATTGATTGTATAATGTACCTCAGATCATGTCACCTGCTAGTGGCTTTCCATTACTTAATAATAAAAGGCGGAATCCATTCTGTAACCCACAGTCCTGTGGCTCTTTGTGCCTCAGCATCTGCATATCCTTGTTTTACCCATCCATCCCATCCCATCTGTGCTCAAGTTACTGCTGCATTTACAATTAAATAGCTTACCCTCTAATTTGGCCATCTTTGATGTGGCCTCTTCCTGCGTTGCTTTTCCTCAAGTCCTGACTGTATCACCTTCCTTTTTTGATCACTGATTGATCTTACCGATTGCCTTTGTGATAGATTTTTGAATCACCCAGTCCAAGGGGAACTTCCCATAAATTACTACCAAATTACTCTCTTTTGTTTTCATGTATCTTTTATATAAAAATATTTATTGACCACCTATTCTATGATGAGAAACATAATAATGTGCCTGCCCTGAGTGGAGCCTTCATCCCATTGAAGAAGATAAGTGAGCTCTGCTTCCTGTCACTTCTGCCCAACACACTCTATTAAGTGAAGTGGATGATTTGTGAACTCTGTGCTGTTTTAGCTCTCCTGGACCTGGAGAGGATTTTCAGAAAGCCCACTTTTTGTCACACTCTTCATATGCCTCTGTGAGGTCACCTCCACAGCTGGGGAGGTGATCAGGTTGAGCATTCAGCACACTGCCACTGTGGTCCAGCCCTCTGGACAGTCACTCTGTCCTTCTTGAGTGAGCCACATTGTCTACTTTCTGTTTTGATTTGCTCATTTGTAAAATGGAGTAGTCTTATCTATCTCACAAGTTTCTTGATGATTTAATTATGAAAGTGCTTGATAAATAGAGCTTCATCGGAAAGCTGCTGTTTTGTTTCTAATAAAAATAATTTTCATCATCTTCACCCTTGGGTAACTGATCTCCAAACTGACATCTCTAGTAGTTGATTATACATTTCTATGTTACTCACAAAATGACCATTTTCATCTTCCAACAAAGCGAGTTACCCTTCCCCATTTCTGTGCTTTGGGGATCACATCCTTTCCCCTCAGATTGTGTATCCAGGCACTCCAATGTCACCTCAGTTTTTATTTGTTAAATCTCTGGAAGCCGTTCTTTTCCACCTGTTTGCAAGCCAGCATCTAAGTAGAAGTCTTCACCTGCCATCTCCTTTTGGTTGACTTCTAAGGTATGTTCATCTCTCCCTTTTGGGCTTTTCCTTCCAAACCAGATGAAATCCTGGCATTATTTGATCTGCTTATCATATCTTTGTCTTTCTCAGAACTTTGAGAAATACTACCTTATTATCTACATGATAGATTTAAATTCTATTCTTGTACTATTTAAAATTTGTCATAATCTGACTTCAACCTACTTTTCAGATTTGATCTCCTACTATTTCTCTTTCTGCTAGATGGATGTGTTTCCTGGTCTTTGTCCCTTGGCTGTACTTTCCAGTTCCCTCTACTCACTTGCTCATGCTTCTTGTTTATTAAATTGCTCTTTTCTGTTTATTCCCATCCTCTTCACTATTTAGCACTCTGTGTGATTCTCTATTTTAAAAGAGTCCTGAGTTTTCATCTTCATTTCTGCTTTGAAGCTGTGTTCCACTTTGTTATTTACTTGCCTATCCATGCCTTCCTAGAATTTTTGGTATTTTTTATAAAACCACAGAACAATCCCATAATAGACACTTACTACTGGGTATAGTTTTAAGTTGTCACTGGTAGCTGGAATTTTGTTTTAAACTGTGTTTTTCTAAGAGTGTAAAGCAGGGCCCCTTGCCTAGAAGAGTGGGTTAAGATGTGCTCATACACAGAACAGGGACTCGGTACTCTTACTTCATTCACTTTGAAAGAAACTAGGTCCGGTTTCTCAGAGAACTTAGTTATAATTTATCAAACTATATGTATAGTATACTATAGTATGTAAATACTGATTTAGCCTAGTGAAAGAACCAGTATTTATAAAAGATTGTCCCAGGAATGATGATAAAATAAAGTCTATTTAGATAAGTACTAAATGTCATTTTCAGGTGTTTTACAGTTTGCTAAATTCTCATCTGTTCCCTGAGAACTTGACTCTTTTCCTGTTCATTAGAAAAATACAGTACTGAATAATATTTGATTTGTCTCAGATGACCATACTTTATTTTGATTCTGTACTAATGGCCTATTTTTGTTTTTCTACAGTACTTTGGAAGTTTACTTGTCATTTTCTGTGTAGAGCTGGCTTGTGGAGTTTGGACATATGAGCAGGAACTTATGGTGAGTTCAGAGGAATCTAATCACAATCTAAAACAATACCAAGTTCAGCTGCTTAAATCATATGCTTTAGAATAGTTTAGACATATGATTGTTGATTTAAATGTTTAGGCTGCATGATAACAATAAACAGTCCAAATACTTTGAAAAATAACATTTTGTTTTCTGTGTTTAAAGGACATTTTTATCCATAATTTGGTATATGATGCTCTGTCTTTAATTCCACAGACTGCTTAAACGTGAATATCACAGACTAAAACTAGTACATCATCTAAAATAGTTTTACCACTTTCTTAGTTAAAAATAGGAAAGATTTGCTTGTGCAGGGTGATTTCTCTGCAAATGTTTTAGCATCTCCTTAAAGCCTGATAAGATGCTGACTACAGCAAAAACCAGTGACCAGGAAGCCTGCATCTCCTGTTTTCCAATGCTGGTCCCTGTTCCACTTCAGAAGAGTGTGTTTAAGAGATGCTGTATGTTTACTGAAGTCTGGAAACATCCTCACAGTTTGAGATTTAGCTGCTTAAAAACAGCTCTTTAGCACTTCTTTTTCCTCTTTGGTTTCAGCCATTGCAACCACTGGAACCACTTCTATAGCTATGTGAGAGTCAATGTGGATAGGCATTTCTTAATTTTAACATTGTACTATTCTGTTAGGTTTGCCACTTGCTGTCCACATTTTTTTTTTTTTTTTTTTTTTTTTTTTTTTTTTGTATCAGGAATTGAACTCGAGACCTCATGCTTGCCAGGCAGGAACTGTGCTTCTGAGCTGAATCCCCAGCCCAGTTTGCTCACTTCTGTGGTGAAAGTTAGTGCATTTATTGCCAGTGAGGGGGAGAGTGCATGTCTGTGAACGCTAGCTGGTCTATGGAGTCAGGCCAAGTTTTCCCAGTATAAGCATTGTAGAATAATTGTCTCACTAAAATGGCGTTTCAACATGTAGTGCTTGCACCATCTGCAGTAGGAGTTATGAGGGGTAATTATTAATAATGTTCATTCTGGGGCTCCAGCCCAGATGTGCTAAATCAGAACAGGGAAACTGGGGGATAGGGGTCGGGGGAGATGTCATGGTCTGTCCATCAGCATCGGGAACAAGTTCTCTAATGAGTTTTAAACATTTTAAAATTCAAGAACCTTTAAAAGGAGCAAGTAATTATTTCCTATTTGTTTTGGAGAGAATAGGTGCATTGGGCAGTTGGGTAATAAAACTGAAGTCATTTCTGGCACTGATGCGAGTGTTAAAGATTTTATGGTGAATCTGCTACTGTTTTGTGAGGCCGTTTTGAATGTTAAGTGGCAACTGCAGGCTAGAGCATGCTGTGCACGCTGCAGCTTCCAGTCAGGGCCACTGGGGCACCTGCACTGCAGGGGACCTGTGAGGACACTGGGGCTTCCAGTGTACGCAAGGCTCAAAAGAAGAGAGAATTGATGAAAGGTTCAAAAGTCAGGGCAGGTGCTAACTGCACTAAGACAAAGTGAAGAACTTTCTTCAAAATAAAATCTCCCCTTGAAATAGTAATTCTCTGACTGTCTTTGAGAATGACATTGTCACACAATTCCTAGGAAGTTTGTATATTTAGGAAGACAAAAACAAGTTGGAAACTCTGTTTTTGAGTGTTAGTGATAACAGGGTTGTCTCTGTTGTTTATCCATTTTCAAGTAATAAATCTATATCCCAGATAATAAAGCACGCTTGTAACTAACTCTTGATCCCCTTACCTCAGTTTTTGACTGTGTTCTATTTGGTCAGTAAAAGATTTTTAGAAATAAATTCGCTTTCTGAGGATTTTTTTTTAATAAATGGATTGTGTAACATTTTTGCCATGCATATGATAAATCTCATTATAACAAGGCTAAAAGGAATGAATGTAAGGTGTTTGAAGGTATGTTTGGATTCTGACATAATTATAAGAAACAAAAGAATTGACAGGCCGCACATGGCTTGAGTGTGAACACTAGCGGAGTACACACTGCCAATTCAGTTGAGGGCACACATCCTGTTTTGCTTGTGTAAATCTTCCCCACTACATCAACAGGATAGTGTAAAGGCTGTTTAAAAATGAAATGTGGAAAGCAGTGATTTTTTAATTGCTCACATTTTTATGGCTTCTGCACTAATAACAGTGTGAATGAAAAGTGCTATTAAAGTTTATTATCTGCCAAAGTTTGTAGGACCCAAGCTTTACATAGACTGGGCTTTGTGCTTTTAGCGGTTCCCTGCGAGGAACCAGTCAGTGTGTGTTACTTTACAGCCAGATCCAGCAGTTCATGCCAGAACCTCAGTGGTCTCCTCTATTTTCTTGCCACATTTGGTCTCAGATTGATTGTGGTCACAGTGGAAAAACAAACTGTATTTATTTTGGAGAGTAAAACTTTAGAAAAGATTGTTATATTAGCTAAGTGAAGAGATTTGACATCAATCAGTCTGCTTCCACATCATTTCTGTTGTTGGTTCACGCTCACCTCCTATTCATGGGTCCTTCTCTAGATAAAAGCTGTCAATAATATTGGTTTGGATTGTATATTTCTTGGGGCCTTATTTTACTTCCATTTATTTTATGCCTCAAAGAATTTGCAATAATACTAATTTATACTGAATAGCTGGGACTTTGGTTAGTTCTGTGAACTTTACTGAAGCCATATGAAAACAAAGTGTATCCAGTCAGCCCATTATCTGGGCATCAAAATTGTATGCGCAGTGTTTGGGTATTTTATTTTGTGTTGCATATGTCGAAGTAATAAAAAAATCATCAGCAGGAAACTGTTAAAAAAATTTTAAAATATTTATGTGGTCAAGACTGTTTATACTATTTCTAATAATAGTTTTTTCATAAAAAGATTCAAAAAGTTCCTAATCTTGAGTCTTATTAATCTTATTTCTGCCTTTTCTTTCTCTCTTTTTTTTTGGGAGGGGATGAGTTCTTTTTTTTTTGTCTTTTTTGAGACGGGGTCTCATTATGCAGTTCAGGCTGGGGCATGAGTTCTTGATCTTTATATCATTTAAAAAATTTCAAGCTTAGTGATCTGAGCTTAATTTAGGCCACAAGCAAATATTAATTTAAAATGACATTTGTCAGTTGTACTGCATTCCAAATATGTGGGTCAATAGAGGAATGATTGTATTTTAAAGTATGGGAGTGTGTCCTTCAGTGTGTGTGTTTAGGAGTTGACAATTTGCTTCTTATCTCCAGGTTCCAGTACAGTGGTCAGATATGGTAACTTTGAAAGCGAGAATGACAAATTATGGCTTACCTAGATATCGGTGGCTCACTCATGCTTGGAATTTTTTTCAGAGAGAGGTAAGTGCTAAAATTTATAGAGAACAGAATATAGAATATGTGTGACACTTTGAAACAGATGTGCAGAAGTTTGGTTATGTTCATTTTTTTTTTTTTTTTTTTATTCTCACTAAATTGTCCAGGTTGGGCTCAAACTTGTGACTGTCCTCACTCAACATCCCAAGTGCTGGGATCACAGGCACATGGCCCTGCACCCTTTTTGAAGATCATTCTCATTTGGACGTTTGGAGTCAGTACATATATCATCATTGGCATGGGATTTGTAGTTAAGGAGAGCTTGGCTCCAGTTCTCATTCTCCTGCTTGCTCTTGTGCTTCTATAATTTACTTAACCTCCTTAAACCTCAGTGTCCTCACCTTTTCAACGGGGTTAATAAAAGTACCTACCTCCTCAGAGTGTTGAGAAGGTTAAATATCAAAGTTGAGTTTATGTATTTGTTATTTAGCTTATGGTTATTATGGATAACATTAAAATGTAGGGGCTTTCGTTTTTTTTTTTTTTTTTTTTTTTTTTTTTTGTCTAAGCATATAAGGTAGTGGACCCATCCATTTCAAAGGAAAACTGTTTTTAGATGTTTAAAATCTGTTGACTTGAAGTTAATCATTGATATTGCTTGCTTCAAGCCCAGTTCGCCTTCCACGCCATTTCCTTGTGGTAGGAGTGACATTCCCAGATAATCAAGTATCTCAGTTTCCTTTTGTTTCTGTGAGTGCTGGGCTGTCAATCTTATGAGGATGAGTATCTTACCTAATCGCCAGCTCCTTGCCCAGTTCCTCTGTCATGGCGCTGGGCAGAGATTCAAATCCAGGGCAGTTTTCAAATGTGGCTTTTTGTGCTACGGTTGTTGAGAGGGTTAAAATTTATGATAACACAGATTTCCTATTTATTTAAACACTTCCTGACTTTGTTTATTTACTGTACATTTATACTAGAAACAACACAGAGGGAAAATAAGTAATGCATTAAGGAATTTACATCTCCTGTTCAGCTACTGTCTTGCATAGCTCCCCAGAGTTCGTCATTTTCTGGGATTTATGATATGAATCATTCTGTTAAAAACGTAGTGGGGTTTTATGTTTTGTTTCTGATGGGAACCGGACCTAGATGGACAATACTCAAGCACTGCAAGGAGCAGCATGCTGTCACTGGACTTGTTACATGGCACGTTCCCTTCCTCGCATCAGATGTTACATGACGGTGAAGACCTCTGAGCACCCTATTTTTTTAAAGCCCTTTCTGTTAGTCTACTAGCACTGCCAGCGTGACGTACTGCAGACTGGGTGGCTCATTACAAATTTATTTTTTCATGGCTCTGGAGGTTGGTAGTCTGGTCCTGGCAAAACTGGTTTCTCTGAGGCTTTTCTCCTTGGCCATCTTCTCCCTGTGTATCTTTTTGGCATCCCTCTGTATGTCTGTTTAAATTTCCTCTCCTTATGGGGATGTAGGTTGAATTGGATTAAGGCCTACCCTAATGGTCTTATTTTTACTTAATTGCTTCTAGAAGACCCTGTACAAGCACTATCACATTCCAAAGTTCTAGAGGCTATGAATTTGGCTGGGGAAACATGTTTCAGCCTATAACAGCTCTCTTCCAAAATAAGATAAAGGAGAGAAAGTCAGCTTCTTAACTTCAGTTCCTCTGATTCCCCATTCAGTGCTATTTTGTACATACGTGTCAGTTTAAGACCATTCTTTCTTTGTTTGGATTTTTTGTGTCTTTTTGATACAGGGTTTCATTATGCAATTCAGGCTTACCTTGAACTCATTTTGTAGCTCATGCTGGCCTCAAACTTGTGACAGCCCTCTTGCCTCAGCCTAGTGCAATTTATTACAAACTTTTTTTAAAAAACTACTTTTTAAAGATATACTTACTTATTTTAACAAAGTGGTTTGACTGTAGGCTGTGGAGAAAATTGAATTTTCGATATGCTGGCCTATAACCTTGGGAAGTTATTAGACCCGTTTGGGACTTCAGTTTGTTCATCCGTAAAATGGTGAATGTATGATATTTACTAGAGTTTAAAACAGTGTTGGCAGGAGTAGAGCTTTCTACACTGTAGCATTAAAGGAGACAGAAAAAAACAAGGAAATATTGACCATGACCAACATAATGTTGTTGTAGCTTGAGATTTATCTAAAGTAGAGTTTTCAGAAAAAGTTTCCAAATAAAGTCACTATCTTCTATTGAACAAGAATGACAATTACATAAAAAAAAATATTTCAGTGACTTAGTAAAATAAAAAATATCTGTCATTGAACATATTTTAAGTTGTTTGGAAAAGTCTTTTCAGTGGAGCACCTCATTTCCTGACAAAGCTAGATACTTGGGCTGCTGCACTGTAAATTGAGTTCGAATGTTTCAAGAACTGCCTTCCTGTCATCAGCATGAAAACCGCTCATGTCATCAGGAATAAGAGAAATTTTTCCGAGTGTGAGAATTCAAAGACAGACTTGGAAATTGCAGTAGTTTAGGATTTTTACAAAGTGAAATCTTTGTCCTACCATATTTTTTAAAGGATATTCACTGAATTATGTAAAATATGTGATGTAAAATTATGTTTGGCTTAAACTATGATGTTTATGTTATGCTCATAGCTTTTAGAATTTGACTTACTTTGTGATATTTATGGTATTTCTATGGCTGTCAGAACAAGTTATTAAAGGAAAATAGTAAAAATATTTTAGATTCATCTCAAAATTATAGTATTACTCAGATTTTAGTATTCATTATAATACTCAAGATGATTTTTTCTTTTTAACCATAAGTCAATAAAAATTCAAAATAAATTTTAGTTTTTGTTTTTGCATGAGATATTCAGTATTCTTCAAAGTTGATTGTAGTTAAACTTTGAAATAGTGGTGGATTGTGATATTTTATTACACAATGTTAATCTCACACACAGAGTAATCTCTTGGGCTACATAATTTGCATAGCGAGTCACTCTTGGCAGAGTCCATCTCCGTTATTGCCATCTTCCTCGCCTCTGACTCTATGGAAGAGTACTTCTCCTTTTTTCAAGAGCAGAACATTTTTCATGATAGTTAATTGTTCTGAATCCAATCTGTGCATATCTTTAAGTAGTGTTTCTAAACCTATAACAGAGAAAATTTTCTCTTCTCTTTGGTGAAATGGGACAAAAAAGAACCTATAGTTCTCTTAAATATAATTTAAGAACAAAAATATATTTTTTGTTTAGTCTAATTTCATTTAGGGCCAGGGATGCAGCTCAGTGCCACAGTGCCTGCCTAGCAAACATAAGGTCCTGAGTTTGATTCCTGGTATGATAAAAAGAATCTAACTTCATTCAAGCTAAAGGCACATTATTTTTTTCTGAGATTATGATGATAGAATATGGTCATTTATTTCAAAAACATCACTTTGTTGAATGAAAACTCGCTGCCTAAATTTGTTTCTTTCTCAGAGTTTGGAAATTTTAGTGGTTAAGAAATTTTATGATGTGGGCTTTGATCAACAAATCTTCCTATGGAGATTATGGGAACTTTTAATATGGTATTCAAATTTGTTGAGCAATTGAAGCCAGTAATATCCATACTGATTGATTTACCATTCTTTAGTGTCTAGACGTTAATAGTAAAGTTAAAGTTTCAGCTATTGGGTTTGTTAGGGTGTGTGTTAAATCTGTCACTCTGTGACCAACTCTGGAGGCTCTTAGATGGAAGTGAGACCCATTTACACATGAGTTGTTTTTATGTGCTGGAGGCACTATTGTTCAGAATTGTTCCATTATGGAGTGGTTAGCCACCATGTGCCTCTCTGACATTGCCAGTATCAACATAGAATCTACACATATCGTTAGGTGATGAAAGAAGTGAGTTCAGCTCTGAGAACAAAAATTTGACAAATCTAATGTTTAATCTCCCATAGGTTAAAAAAATATTGTTGTAATTTTTAAGTCTGACCAATAATTCTTTTTCAGTTTAAGTGTTGTGGAGTGGTGTATTTTACTGACTGGCTGGAAATGACAGAGATGGACTGGCCTCCAGATTCCTGCTGTGTTAGGGAATTCCCAGGATGTTCCAAACAGGCCCACCAGGAAGATCTCAGTGACCTTTATCAAGAGGTAAGTCCGGCCATCTGTGGTTAACTTACCTGAGACAAAACTTTTCTAAAAATAACTTTGAAGAATCAACAATATGCCAGTGAAAACTTTCTTTTCTGTGTAAATTCAAAAGATCTTACTCCCCCCTCTTCCCCCTTGTTAGCGGGAAATAGGATAATGTTAAAACCCAGTATAAAAATCTTTGGAGAAAATGAGATTTTAAAACTAATTCAATCATGAACTTTATTATGTGGAACCAAGTTCTGTTACCACTACCTAGAGATCTTTTGAAAACAAGTATTTTCATCTGAGGTAGCTGTCTGTAGATGTTTAGGAAGCACAGGGTGTGGTGTTCCTGGTCAGGGTACATATTCTGTTGCCTCCACAGATGTAGAAGAAAAACTTGCTCTCGGGGAAAATATTACATGCTACTCTATACTTCCCCCTGCTGGTTGACGACTAGTGATAGTTGGTTTTAGTTAGCTGGTAAAGGTTTGTACTTGCTAGGATGTAATAAGACATTGAATATATTTGTGTGTTCTGAAAGAATGTATCTGAATCATCAGTTACTGTTTATTAGCAAAAGTTTTCATGGTTCTTCACTTGCAGTGGAGAGTTTCACATTGTTAGCAAATGGAATCATATTTTTAAATTAACATATAGAATTGTACTGTATAGTCTAATAGCCAATCTGTGTGGTTATTTCTATCAAAATTCAATAAAAGCAAAATTTCACTTCATTGGTTGCACTAGCTACATTTCCAGTGCTCGGAGGTTACGTGTGACTAGTGGCTCTTGCACTGGATAGTGCAAATGTGGGACATTTTCATCATTACCAAAAGTTTTATTGGGCATTCTTGGTCTAGAATAAAAAGTAAAAATATAAATCAGATGGAAGACAAACTACTTAAGGTGAGTATCTGGAACCAGTTCCCAGAGGTATCCCCATATACCTGGGTAGTGCAAAGCACTGTTAAAAAGCTTGATTTAACACAAAATAGCTATTTATACTATTATATGCTATGGTGAATGCAATTTTTAAATGAAGCACATAAGAATTTACAACACCCATTTTTACATATTTCAATATATAATTACTTTGGATATTATACTATTTTCCCAAGAAACACTATCATGCAAAATGTTTTTTAGATCATTTGTCAGTCAAACAGGTATATAATTTATACTTATTACTTATTTTGAATGCTATATTTAACTAAGTAAAAGAATGTTATGTACCTACCTGCATGATCTCTAGTGCTCACGTCTTCTATGTGAGTAACTTTTGTTTGTCAGAATAATTTAAGAATATTCAAGATTATCATGTTCTGAGCTCCGAATGCATGCCCTGAAGAAGAATGTCAAATATTTTTCAAATTTTTCAGAATTGTGCTAGATTGCTAGATTGCTAGATTGCTAGGGCTGCTTTTACAATGTACTACAAGTTAAGTAGCTTCAACAGCAGAAATTTATTGTCTTACTGCTCTGGAGGTTAGAAATTCAGAATCAGTGCTCCCACAGTGTTAGTTGCCTCTGAGGACTGTGAGGAGGAAAGTGTTGCAAGCTTCTTCCCAGCTGCTGGTGGTTTGAAGGCAACCCTCACCTTACCTTCCTTATCAGATGAGATCCTCCTGGCAGGTGTCTGTCTCCGGATTTACCCTTTTCATAAGAACATCACCTCACACTACAGTTCATCTTCCTCAGGTGTGGCTTAATCCTAACTTCATAACAGTTGCAACAACCTTATTTTCAAATAAAATTACACTGAGGTATGAAAGTTAGGATTTAAACGTGGATTTTGGGAAAACACAATCTAATTCATAATAAGAATTATTGAAATAATTGAATAAGTCAGCTCCTCTTCTTTAAAATAGAATCAAAATGTTTATTTTCATTCCACATTCACGCCACAGAAGCCTTGTTTGGATATTATTGTTTTGAATGTATTATGTGTAGTAACATTTGGCTTCACTGAGAAGGAATATACAAGGCAGAAGTAATAGCACAAAACATTCTTGGGTCAGTGTTTCTAGGTGCCTCAGTAATTATGTGAGATCTTTTACTGTAGGTGAAAGCCAGTATTGTATTAGCTGCAGTCTATAATAGGATGGTCAATTAACAGATGCAGCAAAATCATGTTCATGCCATAAAATAGAAAGCTGCATTCAATATTTATAAGATAGTATACAATGAAAGTGTAATTGTGGATATTCAAATACATTATATCTCACTGTTAGGCATTAATAGAATAGGTGATTACAACATAGATATGTGTAGACATGTGAATTGAAGCCATCAATTTCCCTAATGGGAAATCAGACCATTTGTTGGCCTTCAGAAGTAGCAAGTCAATATTGAAAATTACTGTGCTGCGCAACATAATGTAATTTCTGCTTTAGTGATCAGTACTGATGATGTGATTATAACTCTGACTTGGATCTGGGGATGACAAAGCATAAGTTGAGGAAAACAAAAGTTTCCTACAAGTGTGAATATGGACAAATTCTCTTCATTTTATTCAGCTGAAAAGAATTCATTTTAACATTTAAAATCATTTTCTTGGAAGAAAGGCACATTTCACCTTTAGTATTTTATTTTGGATTATTTTCATTAGTAGTACTTTATAATGGGATACTTTAAAGATATCTATAATTATTGAAAGAAACCACACATGTGCATATTGGTAACCTAGATTATTTTGAATATTTTCAGTTTTTGTTCAAAAGACTTTCAGTAGCTAGCTGGTGTTGTCAGTTATAAGATTTTCTCTAGATATAGGCTTCTGGCCAATTAGGAAGTTCATTATCAGAATAATCTGTTTTTGCATTTTATAATTAATAACAGATGCTGATATTGATAATTAAATAGTACATAATTATATGCATAGTTGATTTACAAAAGTGGATCATTTAGTAGCTTTATGGTATAAGTGCAATTAAATCTGTAATGAAAAATAAGACTTAATTCCACTTTGCCCTAGAGAACATATGTTTCCCAATTGCAGTGTGTCCAGTGATAATCCAGTAGGAAGATGAGGGTCTAAAGGAAGAAACAAGTGAGTAACAGTGGGAAGTGTTTGGGATATTTACTCTTAAGTTAAAAACACTAAAGTGTGACATTTTAGATGTCTTCAAGTATTTCAAAGTTCATAATTCAGAACAGGAACTAGACATACGCATTGTTGTTCCAAGAGCCAGAAGTTACAGGAAGAAAGTTTTGAATCAATAGAAGGAAGACCTTGCTCATCAAAATCTGTCCAATTGTGAGACAGGCTATCTTTCAAAATAATGTATCTCATCACTAAAAGTATTAAAGTCAAGGTCATATAACCGTGTCATTGGGGGTGTAGAATGGTTTTTTAAATTAAAAATGAACCTGGAATACATGAACTTCAAGGTAACTTTTATCTTTCATATTCTGTAAACTCAGAGATAAGAACTGGCTTTAGTCCTGTAATCTTTCTTTGGTAATCTAAAATCAAGGAAATAAATCATTCTCAACCATCTGGTGGCCTGCCTGGTCCCTGACCCAATAATATTTTATGACACATTTTGAAACTTGTGAAAAATGGTAGGACAGAAATAGAGCAACAATTGCACATTTTAGAAACATTCCTATCAAAAGTGTTATTACTTTCAACATGGAACTCCTCCAGTGCTCTTAAGAAGCTACATACTTGTGGAGAAATACAGGTTTAAAAATCGCAGAAGAAAATAGCTCTATCAGTTTACTTCCCTTCTATTCATTCATCCAAAATGTTTTGTGATTATCTTCTGAATTTCTCATGCTGTTCGGAATTCTGGGAATCCGATGGAGAATGTTGCAGGTGAAAATATGTGCTCACTGATGATTTATATTCTAGTTAATGATGTAGACACTTGTAAATACAGTAGAAAAATACAGTAATAGAAAATAATTACAGGAGGAAGTAAGCACTTTAAAGGCTGAATAGGAACAGGTGGAATCTTGTTGGTAAAGGAGCTACTTGAGATGGATAGGAAAAGAATATTTAGAAGGGAGTGGTTGAACTGAGACCAGCTGATGAGAAGGACAGAGCCAAATAAAGATCACAGAACTGTATTTTTAGCTTATGGAAATACAAGTTCAAAGACTCACTCTCAGGTGGTCCAGGCCCAGATTACTATTTCCTACCCTGTCCTTTGGAGTCATCTGTGTAACCATGATCTCCAAATGCTGTGTGTCAGAACTGGCCTCAGCCACACATCAGACTCTGAGTTTCACTTAGTAAAAATGCAAGTCAAGAATGCATCTCATCCTTCTCCCAGTGCTGAATTTTCCAATATACTCACTACTAAAGTGAGTCTTGACTTGATCTGAAAAAAAGAAAAGCAAAGAGAAAGAAGAAGAAAAAAATAGCAGGTAGAAAACAAGTCTTTATATAGCAGGGCTGATCAATTTCTTGCCCATGGATATGGTCCCTTCTTGGATGAACTTCAAGGAGTGGGTGATACTGCCAAAATTCTTTTCAATATTTTAGATGCATTTGCCAGGGAATAGGATCCATGGCTTCCATCAAATTTCTTGGGATTCAGTTGTAGGGAATAGTTACAATTTTTATCTCAGATGGGAAACAAAGCATAAATAGCTCCTCAAAGGGATGGAAATGCCATTCTGCTCTCTGTATGCCACCTCAAAAAAATAAATGGAAGTAAACAAGCTCACACCAACCCTACTTCAAATAGACCCACTCCAAATGGAAAACAATATGGGACAGAAAGACAAGCAAAATGTACCTCCAGAGACACATTTCTTTGTTTTGTAGTCACAAGAAAGAGTATAGCTAAAATATATTGGCTCCTTCTTCAGAGAAGTAATATTCTTAGAAGTTTATGTAAGGCCTGCAGGGAGAGATACCCTCCAGGCAGCTGTGTTTCTTTGGGGACACTTTTCTTTTAGACCTTGAGACTTTGAGTGTTCCATGGATTGGGTGTGATTTTCAAACACTCCTAATGATTTTTAAATGACAGATAGCATTGCCCCAAACCACTTATGACACTTCA